CTTCTTCTTCTTCTTCTTCTTCTTCTTCTTCTTTCTTCTTCTCTCTCTTTCTTTCTTTCCTTCCCCCCCCCCCTATTTACCCCCCCCTTCTCTTCAACTCCTGTGCCGTTTCCGGTCTCATTCCGCGTTGTTTTCCGCGCGGCTCAGAGGTGCCCGTGACGGTAAGATGCACATTGCCGTTCCATTCGGCACTACAATGAAAGGGCGTGTAAATTTCAGTGGCAGCTTTACAAACGACTCCGATTTCTTTACTATTTTCATCACATGCCAGGGCAATGGAAGGGAGGAGGAGGGAAGGAGCTAGGGGGGGGCAAAGGGACAGGAGCGAATTCTTCGTCCTAGAGGGGGGCAGCAGGTTTGCTCTCAATGTTACATAATACTGACTGGATTTGGAACCAGGCATGACTTTGCGAACGCCCCAAGAGCGTAAATTCTGTTCCGACCACCAGCATTCGGTTTCGGGCGGCCAAGGAGAGCAAGGAGAGGGGAAAGAACAGGGGCTGCGCTCCTTCCCTACATCATCTACTATCACTCATGATTCCCCAAACAAGTCCGATTAGGCTGAAAAAGCAATTATTGTGGCACAACATTTTCCTTCCCTCCCCCCCTCCACACTAAAGAAAAGAAAAGGAAGGACTAAAAGGACAAGAGAGCATGTGCCCTGTGAAATTCATTGGTGTCGGTTGTATACACGTATAATGTGTGGTCCCTGCAGGCGGCGGGGCTGCAGTTTGCATCACGCAAGCTTGCTGTGCATGAAAAGCCACTTGCATATGCATACTACGCTGATCTCAACCTGCGAGGGCGCGGGAAGCCAGTGGAGTTCCGGCTTGTGCGTGCAACCGTCGACGGGACCGGGGTAACACGATGATTTTATTCATTTTACCTATTTTTTCAATTTTTTCATTTGCTGGACGAGGGTAACATCGGAATGCTGGAGCTAGGGTGTGAGCCTTGCTTGCGCAGAGGGGAATTATGAGAAGCTCTGGGTTGGTCACCCCTTGCGTCGGTGGCTCTTTTGATGGAGAAGTCAAGTGCTAATTATCAGGGTCAGGGTTCACATTTATCGTGATGTTGATGTTTCCGGGCATGAATTCTCATGGAAGAGACATCCTTATTATATCTATTCTATATCATGCACCAACTGATTCGTACCGTGCTGGTGTTCATGCCTGTATACCGTACGGGGGAGACATTTAGGTAAGGGTAATGACATCAGGAAGAGGCAATCGATAAGTGGCTGAGTTTGACGAAGGAGGAAGGGGTGAAAAAATTGGAGATTCGCTCATCCAAGCTTTTGACCGACGAGCGAACGAAAGACGGACGACCGCCACCGACGGATGACAGACAATTTCACAAAGGGGGAAAGCTTATGAAGTACTAACAAAAAGGCTACCTTCATTTTTCCCGGCTGTAGGACCGCAGCGGTGATAAGATGGGTCGATTCATTGCTATGGCCTCACCGATCGTGACCAAATTGGCGGTCAACCTAAAATTCTGGACATGGGAAACTTTTCAAGGCTCTGGCTTCTTCAATACCGGTACATACCAAAAAGCTCCCTCCCCTCTGGCAAGTTGACCGACGGGCTTGCGTAGCAGTATGTATCGCCAAAAAGAAATCGGATCGAGAAATACACGGGGTATTGGGGGCCACTTTGGAAAGAGGGAAAAAAAAAGAAAAAAAGAAAAAAAGGGCACTCTGAACTTCCCTATCTCGCTTACAACCATGAATGTTTCCCCATCCGGAGATCCAAGAGGAAGGGTTGAAAGGTTGACGAAAGGTTCCTTCTGCCAGCGCATCGATTTTTATGGGCAGCCCACCACACTCAACAAAAAAGAAAAAAAAAAGAGGCAAAAAAGAATTGACACAAGAAAAGAAAAGAGAAGAAGGAGAAAAAAAGAAAGCAAGGGCAAAAAGGAAAAAGACCACCGCTGATGGTTTTTCAACCACCCTTTCAACTGCCATATGATTGACTTGAGTGGTTATCGACCAATCATCCAAGAAAAGGAATCCTGAAACAAGCCCCAGCTTCCGTACTGCTGGTGTCAGCGCCCATCCATCTGGGTTTGGGGTTTGACCGAGCTCCGAAGGAATTCATTCAGTGGAAGAAAGTACCTACCGTGTCATGCTTAACGGTGCTACAAAAGATATTCGACCACGGCGCCCCTCTCACCGCTTCTCCCTCCATGCCCTCGTCCGGGTTGGCTGGAGCACCAATTGTCCTCCTGGAGAGGAACATGAGCGAGGTTGAAAATCGATGAGCTGCGGGCATGCCTTGACTTGACAGCCTCCTTCTTCTCTTGGTCTCTTAGGCGGATTGACGTTCCAGCCACGGTTATCACGAGTTGATCTTTCGTGATGAGGTAGCCTTACCGCACGCGCGAGTGATGATTCGGAAAAATTGCCGAAATACGAAACGGACCTTCCCTCCACACCCCCTCGCAAGTGCTTCGAGTGCTGTACGAGTACCGTTAATGGTTCCGGAAAAACCTGTTGACATCTTGGTGGGCTATGATTCGACAGTATCTCTCAGATTTTAAATTGTTGGCAATACATTTTTTTATTTCAATACCGGTATTTTGGGGAAATAAATAGAAAATTGGGGGAGTTTTCAGTGGGATCAGAAAATCAAGGTATCGAAGTATAATTTTTAATTTTGATTTTCCCTCTTTCACCCTTTTCCCCTCTCTTTGTTTCTCTAATTTTTCCCCCTTGCAGACGCGGGAACTTGCACCGTGTGCCAGCCTTCCCTCACCATCCGAATGACCTCCATGACCTTTCTCTAATTTTCGCTGGTGGTGGTGGTGGTGGCCCACCAATACCACCATTGCTACCACCACCACCAGCGCCCAGATCTCCTTAGTAGCAAAGGAATCGAACGTGTCAAAGAAGCGCGTGTACGCCGGAAATGGAGAAGGGAGGGAGGAAGGGAGGAAGGGGCGGGGTGGAGCAGATGATCAATGTATCCGCTTCGTCTCCCAATAATCGGCAAGTATCTACGACCCATCTCAGTGACATGATGAGTTCGTGATATTTCATAGAACCTGCACTAAACACGTTTCCCTCCTGCCTTGCCCTTGCTTTTCAACTTTTCGCGCTTCTGGGTTGGGCAGAGTCTCAAATGTAGGGTACTGTATCTATATTGTACAAGTATGTATGGAGAGCGCTTTCTCTCTTTTCGAGAAATAACCACTGCATCGTATGTATTGTATCGTGCTGCTACGAGTAGTGTAGCGTAGGCAAGCAGGGCAGTGCCGAATCGTGCAATACCGGTAGCACCGGTAGTAGTATGACGGTACCGGTGAGTGAGTGATAGTAGAAGAAGGAGGAGCATGATTTGGCACTCGTTCTTTTTCTCGCTCGATCCTTTTTTTCTTTTTTTCTCCTCACTTTTTTTTCGGTTGCGAAGTTCGAACCTCCGATATCGTGCCATACCGAATCACGCTGTATCAGCAGTTAGCCAACCTCGGGTTCTACCATAATCTGGCACATCTGGTCTATCGCAGATAACGGCCCAGAACCAATGGGACCATTTGTGCCCTCCAGATTAGATTATCGTTCTCTCTGTCTCCCTCTCACACACCCTGCTCTACTTTGCTCGTACCCCACCACCACCACCACACCAGCACCTCCACAAACTCCATTCCTCCAATAGGCTCGTTCGTTGTGAAACCTGTTTTTTTTCTTTTCCCTCGTTCTTTTTTTCCTTTTTTTTCCCTTCTTTCTTTTCTTTTCCCTTTTTCCAATTCCTTTCCCCATTAACTTGTAATGACGGATACCGCTCCAATCACTGCCCGCCACGTTCGTAAGGTTCGCTCTTTTTTTTTTTTTTTTTTTTTTTTTCCTTGTGTCGCGCCCCCCTTCCCCCCCCCACCACCACTCAACGAACGAAAGAACTTTTTTTTTCGCTCCCTACCACCGCTCCCAAGCATGCTGATATTAATATCGGTACTCGAGTACTGTACGGCACTCGAGTGAGTTACTGTATCATACCGTGATCCCAGCCAGAGCCAGCCAGAGCTAGTCAACCAGCCATCCAGCCAGTGAGCGGACCGGCCGATCAGAAGCCGAATTATGTGTTTTGTATTTTGTACAAATTGGGGGGGGGGTTTTTTCTGAAAATTGTGAGGGGGATTGGGTTAGTTCGCTACGGTAAATGGTTATTGCTTGGAAGCTCCATTTTTGGTTAGTGCATGAACCGGGCGGTAAACGAGAGAGGAGTAAGTAAGCGAGTATTGATTAGATACGCATTTGGCACAGGATAGAGAGAGAGAAGGAGAAACCGGCGCTTGATTGTGGTGGTGGTGGTGGTCGGGAATTGCCGGTTTTTTATTATTATTTTTATTATTTTTATTGTCAGTCCAACTGCCTGCCTGCCTGCCTGCCTACCTACCTGTACAGTACTCGCCTGGGACGATATAGTTTACCGGCACCGGTAGGAATGCGATGGGTAATGGTGGTTTACCGTATGGTTCGTTCACTTTGGTCTCTCTCTCTCTCTTCTGGTCTACTCTCTTCTACCCGTACGGTGCTGTCAACCACGTAAGTTGAAACTGGCATCCGTGATCCATTGGATGGTTCTCCTCATCCTTCACGGCTCGGTAGCTGTACTCGTACGGTACTCGGGCAGCTGCCGGCTTTTGCGTTCTTGAAGTTCGCGCTTGGCAACTGTGATGATGATGAACGAGTGCCGTACAGTAACGGTACATATCGTATATATATCATTCGATGGATGGATATACAGTTCATGAACTGATGGGTGCAGTACGGTAGTCAATTGTACTGTACCCTGGATATCATCACGCTTTCGTGGGCAAGAAGGAAAGGAAGGGAAAGGCAAAATGTACCGCGCTTTTTTTTTCTTTCTTCCTCTTCCATTTTTTGCCTAACTTATCATGCGTTTGCCGGTGTGGGTTTGCTCTGCTTTGCTTTGTCGCTCGTTTGGCTGTTTTGCCTGCCACGCTTAATTGATTGATTAATTAATACCGGATGCTGGTCTGATCGGGGTGTGGGGAAAATGGCAGATGTCGAAATGGTGATGTTTAGATTTTGTCAATGGTGACTGTTACTATCTACCGTATCTACCCTGCTAAGCTACGATACGTTTCCCCGGCGTGTTTTGCAGTTGTATAGTCTAGTGTATTTGCAATTGAGTTTCTCTCCCCCTTTCTCTCAAGTCTAACTTAACCCCTCCCTCCCCTTCTCTTCTCTTGTGGATGGATGTAAGGAAGAATTGGTTTGCTTTGGTCTAGTCCAGTCAGTCAAGGCTTTTAAAATTCAGGGCAAGGCAAGGCAACATCGAACAGCCAGCTATCATGGCCAACTAGACTACCGTACCGTACTGCAGTACTTGTAGCTGGGCCAGGCTTTCAGCCCATACTTAAGCCTAATACCGGTAGTGGTAACTATTTCCCTCTTTTTTTTCCTTTTTTCTTTTTTCCTCCACCTTCCGGCTAGTGCCACAGAATTGGCGGATACTCTGGATAGAGGGGGGTTATCATATCTGGGTACCGTGGGATAGGCCTTTGTAACCGGATAAGCCATAATAGTGGGGTTCAACGATGAGAAGGACCGACATGCCATGATTGAAACAATGGACTAACTTACCTACCATATGTACCCAATTCACCCATCAGCAGCAGTATCATAGCACAATCATACCTCTGGGATACAATGAAAGTTAAGGACCGAGGAAAAAGTATGGGGAAAAAATAGGAATAAAAATAAAAAAACCTGGAGCTCCTCCCCCCATGCCATTTGACTGCACCGTATAATCGAGTGCTACTACCGTACTAGTACAGTACTTTGCCACAGCGCCGAGCAGATAAATCATGGACACAGGAGAAGGGTGGAAGGGGGTGGGAGGGATTGAGAAACTAATCTCGAAATTCTTGCACATCGGTCCATAAAACGTTTGTGTACCAGGGGGAAAGAAACCTTACTTGTACGATACAGTACTTTGTGCGGTGCCGGCCACCGCCGGTAATGATACTGTACGAGTACTCGTATATACGGTATTCAGCTAGTTTGAAGCTACCGCGGTCGGTCGGTTGGAGGGTGGTGAAACTCAGCTGAGGAATTTTTTTCTCATTTTTTCTCATTTTAATCTACTCGTATCGTACGTATGGTACCTGTATCATTCATACCGTATTCAGGTAGGCTACTAGTTACCAGTGATGGGCGGGGGGGGGGTACGGTGCGGCGGCGACGACGACGACTGCTGAGATAGGATTGATTTTCTTGCTTTTGTTTCTTTCTTTTCTTTCTTTCATTCTTTCTTTTGTTGAAATGAATATAATTACAATTCGACTAGTTATACTTTCTTATTTTTTTTTATTTTTTTAAAGAAAAGGAGGAAAACTACTGATGTGATTGGGGGAAGGGGGGGTAGGGAGGAGGAGGAAGAGGAGGAGGAGGGGAGGGGGAGGTGAGAGGGTTGATTGTTCTAAATTTGGCTAGCGGCTACCTTGCTCGTGTCTACTTGCCGATGTGGTTGTTCATGATCGGGAAGGGAGGGGAGGGGCGTATGTAAGCAGACAAAGAATTACCGGTATTGGCAGGGCTGGAGGAAGATACCCGTACTGGTTACAGCACAGGCAAGACGTTATCCGGTATCAGGGATTAAAAGATATATGCCAAAAAGTCCTTGAGTATCCGTGCCCCCATACAAACACAAAACTTGTATTATCGAATGCTTCTTTCTTGCCTGCCATGAGTATCCTTTATCCATTGGCACAACCGTGGCTACGGCGCAAGTACGAGTAGTAGTAGAAGTGCCAAGTGCCGGAGGAAAAGGGTACTGTGTTACCGTACTTTCGTATTGAAGTGAGGGGGGGGTTATGGGGCCTTGTAGACCATGACTGATGTAAGGAATGATTGAATGAATGAACTGTAATGACATCTAGATCTGGTAGAAGCCCGACGTTCAACTTGCTGTAACTCGTCGTACTGGTACCTCCCAGGTCGGTAGCTGTGCCCATAAACTTCTTCATTACGGTCCATTATTATCTGCCCGCCAACGATCGTACGACCGTATTATTCCCGCAAAGTCTCTCTCTCCCCCTCTTCCTCTCCTTATTGCCATCTGTCCGCCCGTCCGCCCGTCCGCCCGTCCCTCCTCAATGGAAGGGGAGGAGGATAGCGGAAGGAAAAGTATAAAGAAAAATAAAAATAAAAATAAAATAAAAAAGTATGATAACTACCGATCGGAAGAGAGAAGCAAAAAGGAAAAAAGAAAAAAGAAAAAAAAAAGAAGGGTCCTCTTTCAAATTCCCGCAACTCACTCGTGATATTTTATTTTATTTTATCTTTTGTTCCGTTATTTTCAACAAAGAGGTCTCTTGCAGACTGCCGATATCCAACCCCCCCCCCGCTGACATGGTCAGTACTAATCCAAACAAATCAACAACTTTTGCCAATAATGCCCCCGGGCAGATACCGTGCTTTGTACAGCTTAGGTAGAAGTAGGTAGAAGTAGGTTCAGTACAGTGCTCGTACGGTCCTGAACGACCGAGAAATGGAGCACTATACCGTACGTGCATATCTATCATTACCTCTTCCCTCCCCCCCTCCTACTCTTCCATTCCCTTACTTTTTTAACGGGTACGATGAATTGGTCCACCATGGGGGGAGACTATATCTAGTCTACCGTACCGTGGCATCATACAATACCAACCACCAACCCGGTTCAATTTCATCATCATACAGTAACGGGTACTCGAGTACAGTACGCGCAGCTTCATTCTTTCATTCCTTCAATAAAACGTACAGTATTATTATTTTTTCTGATCATAGGGAAAGAAGGAAGAAAAACAAAAACAAAAAAAACCAACCCACACCTCTCTCCTTCTCTCTTTTTCTGTTTTCTCCCTTCCTCATTCATTAGACTATCCCTTCCTGTCCACAAGGCACCATCATACAATACCATACAGTATGTATTATAAACATTGTGCAACCATGGGTGGGAGGGGAAGGGGAAATTACAACAAGTGCGGCGCCAAATGCAAAGCATCGCGTAGAGCATGAATCAACACCCATGTCCCTGCACCACCGTACTACCACACCATTAAACGCAGTCTCACTATTGGTCCGTTTTGTTCCCGATTAGCGTTTGGCCCACACAGCACCATACTTGTACTAGTACCTTTGTGATTGTGAACTTCGATGGGATTTCAATTTGCTTTCTTTCTTTCTGGTTGATCGTGGAATAAGGTATCATTGAGTGAGTACTGAACGGCACTCTTCTTTTTTTTTTTTTCGTGGCAAGGGAGGGGAGGGGGGGGAGGTTTCCCCAGCCCAAGTATGGTTCCTCAGATGGGGGAGTATTTTTACTCTGGTGAATTATGCTGGCTTGGGTTACCGAGATACAAGTATAGAAAGGATATAATAAGCATCGTATCATCATACCCTGCGATAGTTACAGTACCGGTCCGGTATGTCTTGCTTTCGGAGTGGAGTTACGAGTCTGAGTGGAGGGGGAGTAAATTTACTGGTACAGGTCTCTGATGAATTTTGAAACATACCCCACCATACCTAGCTTCCCCCTCCTCCTTCCATCTGCCCACCTGCCCAATGGCGCACTCACACCACAGTGCGGTGGACAAAATAGCCACGAAAACAGCCCCGGAAGGGTTGGCCGAAAACCCCTCCCTAGGGCGTAAACGAGAACATTCATCCTCGGGGGGAAAAGAGACGAAAAAGGGAACGACATTAGGGAAATTGGGGGGGAGAGAGGGAAAAAAAGAAAAGTAAACATAAAACCTAACCCTAAATTCCTGGTAGATTCGTGGTACATTAGGAACTAGCCAGTAAAATCTCGTAAATGCATAATCCTCAGCCCTATGCCTATGCTGAAGGTACCGGTATTACTTGCATCGCAGGGAAGGACAGGGCAGGAGAATTTAGCAGCAGCATGGAAGGAAAGGAAGAGGTAGGATGTGGACCGAAGCCAGGAAAATGGGTTTTAGAATTTAGAGAGAGGGAAAAAAAGGAAAAAAGTTGAAGCGAGCGGAAGAGGATGGATGGATGGGCCCGGGTGGATAGACAGAGGGGGCTAGTGTTTTTGTACGATAATTATGATATGATAACGGGGGGGGGGAGGTGAGGAGAAGGGAAAAATAAAATAAGAAAACGTGCTTTATTTTATTTTTTGAGAAAATGTGGGGAGGAGTATGATACCTGGGTGGGAATGGGTGGAATGTGGAGTGCTGTGTGTTGGTAGGTGAGCAGCAGGTAGGAACTCTACCCTACAGTGGCAGGTACTGTACCGTGGGGTGCTGTAAGGTAGGATGCTTTGCTGCTGCTGGTGCTGGAAGAGGGAGGAGATACCGTGGTGCGGCGGATGCTGTGCAATTGAGCGCGGTGCAGTGCCATCACTGCCATGCGATGCGGTATGATACCTCGAGCACAGTACTGTACAGTACCGTAGTGTATTTTTTTTACTTTCTTTTGTTGTTTCCGTTTATGATATTCGCGTATCTTTTGTTTGGCGGCCGGATACTGGTAGTATCCTACAGTGATACCAATACTTTATTGTAGTTAGTATTGTACGAGTAACTTCTTGGGGTACCGGTACTGTGCTGTAAGCTATACCGTGGGCACTTGGGGGAGATACCGGTATTTCGTTCCGCTGATGTGCCTTGAGTGTATGATACTCTGGTACTGTACTTCTAGGGCTGCTAACGCCTGCTGCTTGGAGCCAGGAACGCGGTGGAGTACTCCTAGGGAGGGGTACGGTATTCGTACTCCAATCTGCCTGTGCTAGTCATAATGCTATCAGGACCACAAGCGGTGTATTGTACAGATATCAGGATACCGCATCCATCTCGTCTGAACATCCCCGATGGGTTGGGCCGGAATCGTCATATCAGAAAAGCACTTGAGATCAATGTCGCAAAGGGCATTGACTCATTCAATTAGGCCTCGGAAGTACCTTCTGTGAGAAATGCCTCCCGTGAGGGCTCTCCCTCTTCAGGGCCTAATGGTGACAACGACTAATTTCGCAGAATCCATGGGAGCGCCCTTTTCATTGATATCAGGGACAGTGCGAATGGAGGGAGGGAGTTTGCCCTGTCGGTCACGTATCCCGTATCCACCTTGAAAATGACCAAAAGGCCTACTCGACTAGAAGTACGATGGTTTCGAGCATAACTGTCAAGCGTCCCCTAAGTAGTCCATATGAAAAATAAGTGATATCATACAATGATAACCAAAGCTTCACAAACCTCGAACTATCACTCGAAGCTACACACAATACCGAACACGTTCCGCACTCACATCACACACACTTTCCACAGCACGCACCGAACGCGCACGTCCCTAGCGGCATTGCGCAACGCGAGCATCCAAACACGCTAAACCCCCAAAGGGGAAGCCACAACATCAACACCACGTCTTCCCACACCCCCCTCCTTCCATCCTGCGCTCCATCCGTCCATCCATCCAAACCACTTCCTACCGTACTCGAGCACCTGTACTAATCCGCCAACCAACATTCTTCGGGGGAAATAAAATAAAATAAAATTAATCCCAGTAACGAAAATGGGCCGCTCCCAACCAAGACTCAAACAGCTCCGCATAGATACCTACAACAGTTCCTCAACGGGTCACCAAGTCGGCTCGGGCATTTCGAAGCCTGCCTCGTGGCATAGGTCTCGGAACTCAAAGTTACAGAAACAGTTCCGTGAGGCTACTCCTGCTATTGCCGTCGCCGCCATATCAACAGCATCGAAGCCAGAGGTGGAGGAGAAGGAGAAGGAGAAGGGGGATGGGGTTGGGGTTGGGGTTGAGAGGAAGAAAAAGATATTCGCTGGATGCACGATATACGTTAATGGATCCACCGCACCGCTGATTTCAGACGTTGAGTTGAAGAGGGTACTCGTTGCCAACGGGGCCGCCGTGACAACAGTTATGAGTCGGAAGCGGGTTAGTCATGTTGTTCTTGCCAGACCTGTTGATGGACTCGGTAATTGTGGAGGGGGAATTGGGGGTGGGCTTGCGGCGGGGAAGTTACAGAAGGAAGTTTCGATGAAGAAGGGGAATGGTATCAGATATGTGCGTGTTGAGTGGTAGGTTTCTATCCTTGTTTCTATCTTCATTTCATCTGGTTATTTTGTTTCTGCATTGGCTGGAGTTAAACAACCTAACATACCTATGGCTTCAGGGTTCTCGAATCCCTTGTGGCAGAGAAGCGGCTGTCCGAGAGTAAATATCCCGTCTTGAACTTCAGAGGCGGAAGTGCCTCCCTGGATAGCATGTTTGCGAAAGGGGCCTAGCCTTCCGTCCTTCATTTCTGCTATCCAATCCATGCATGTTTTTATTTAATTGGGCTTTTATACGGGGTTGGAAATGGAACGACGTTTGCGGCGGGGGTGGGCGGTAGCAGCGGCGAGGGAGATGCTGTCCGCTGGGTTGGCGTGTTTTTATTCTGTGTCGCGTCAGCCTGGCCTAGGCTCCCGGTGGTTGATTGATATATTAATGGCCCAACTGGTACGGCGTGGGTTTGGTTCATTGATTATGACTCGGATCGTGTTGGGGGAAAAAAAGCACGAAAGGGTAAGATGGTTGAATTCCTGAGTGCCTGAATGTTGTATGATGTGATAGAACGGGAATTTGCATAGCTTTGCTGGTATTGCCTTTCATTTTCCTTTTTTATTTCATTTTCTATTTTTTTTATTGGGGGGCTGGATTTGGTCCTGAGGTTGTATTGGTGCAAGTTGTACGGTGCGGTTTGGTTTTTACCATTTTTTCTGTGTTCTTGTGCTGTAGTGGTGTGATACGGTTTGTTGCATTGTGCTTGTATTGCTGTACCTGTACGGGTGCGCTGATGATAGACTGATGCCCTCAATCCGCGCTTGCCTGAGTGGGTGCCTTACGTGATGTTTTTGGCCGAGGGTGCTGGTAGGTTACGGTGGTTCATGGTATGATGTGTGTGTGCACTGTACAATGTGGTCTGGAAAGCTCTCATACGGTCCATGGCAACTGCAACTTATATCTTTTGGGGAAAGTGAATATGAAAATTTTATATTGGTAAAAATAAAGGATACTAATACAATAATATTCTATATAAGGGTAAAATGGTTTTCCTAATTTTTTTTTTTAAAGTACTGACCTAAATCTAGTAAGTATTAATTATTATCATTCATTTTTTTACTATGTATAGTATAGCATGGAGTTAGTTTTGGCTTTAAATTTGTACTTCTAAAATAATCTAGACATAATATTAATAGGTTTTTGAAATTATATATTGGTCCAGATATGGTTTGAGTCCACAATAAAATATTTTGTATGGTTCCGGTTGTGATAAACCTGTAGAGGCGGCCATTGAGCCAAATGCTTAGTAAGCATAAAAAATTAAGGGGTTTTATTTTTATTTTCTAGTTTAAGTAGAGGTTAGGGTTTGAGATTATATAATTTGAGAATAATAGAAGAAAATTGTATTTATGAATTGAGTATCATAACTACAAATTGTATTCAAATGAAATGCCTATTAAGGACTAGTTTTATTGCTTAGCAGCTGAGAACTTATATTGTATTCTCATATCTTTTCTGATATGATTTATATACAGTATTTTGGAACTCATTTGTACTATATACTAATCCCTTCAAGTTGCAACAAGCCTTCATTAATTAAAGCCTTTTACAATAAAATTTCCTACTAGCAATTATATCTTCTTCAACTGAGTTCAAGCTATTAGGAATAGTTTCTTGCAATACTTTAATATGATAACTACAGTTATCACACAATATATAGTACTTAGCCCATTCCTATTACTTGCTGGTTCATTTGCTATGCAGACAGTTCACAACCCTAACCCTGACCTAACACTAGAAAAAACAATAATGCGAACTTTTTCTGTCATACCTGACTTCTCCACCATCCCTACATGTGATAAAATCCATTTCATACAATTTAAGAGTATCTATTTCTAGTTCAATATGCATTCAGAAATACAAGCAGTAAGGAGGACAGTTACTGGTAAGAATTAAATACAAACCTGAGGAAAGACAACTGGCTAACAAATCAAATAGGTAAAACAATAACCCCAACACGACAGTGAGCTATCCTAGCACTTTGGTATTATTGTAATTCACAAAAGCTGCCAAGTGTATACCAAATTGCTGAGCAACTGCAGGTATCAAAATCTGCTATCCATACCATCTGCAAAAATGCAGTTACAAATGCTCATACAAACTGGATTGCTAGTTATAGTGTAACTGCAGATTCCTCAGTTCCTACCTGCATTCTTCCACGAATCTTGATAATGGCTACATTGTCACGTGATATTGTTGCTATAACATTATTCTTAAGCGAGATGAATCGAGAGTTGGAAGCATTATTAGAAGAGGAGGAACCAGAAGTACTACAAAATGTTCAGGATGAAGCAGGCTCAGGCTTCTGGGTAGAGGTTGAAACAACTAGAGAGGATGGATATGTTGAATTGGGGGAAGCAGATGAGAGGGAAATTGAGGAGGAAATTATGGAAAGGCTTGGAGAGATTAATGAGAATATGATGGTTGAAGAAATTGGTTTGCTTGAGTTTTTAAGAGCTGCAGTATTAAAAAAGACTGGAGTAAGGCCAAGAAAGCTTAGTGAGAGGTATAAGGACTATCTAGTCAGCATGGTTAAATAAGAATAGGATACCCGTCATATGAACCTGATTGACCTTCAACAAACTGCAGGCTTTGGCCACCTATGCCCTTCAACAATAATGAAAGCCCTCTAGGAGGATGGGATCTGACCCTATCAAGAAGAATAGAAATTTATTCTGAAGTCAGAAAACAAAGCTATCTGATTTCAATATTGCCAACTATGCAAGGACTGGAGACCAGAGGCTGAGTGGGTCAAGTATGGCTTTACGGATGAAATGAGCATTGAGATTGGTGGCATGTTTGGTATTTTCTTAGTTTGGCAAGAGCGTGAGGAGTAGTGGGAAGAGGATTGGGGTGGTGCAACCAAGAAAAATAAAACAATAGTCATGTGTTGGGGCATGATAAAATAGAACTATAGGGGACAATTTTATATTTGGGAAACTGAAACAGAGAAGGATCAGAGTGAAGCAAGAGATCAAATTGCTACAGCAAATGAAAATGCTACCAGTGAGAAGATCAGACTCAATAAGGAGTAGAAGGAGTCAAATAAGTGGATAGCACTATGATATTGGAAACTAGCAGCGGCTCGAGTACTATGCCAGGTAGTAAAAGATATGAATACAAAGGCACTCAAAGCAACAATGACCTATCTGGAGAAGAAGTTTAGGTTTAAAAAAATTGAAAAGAGAGAAGGAAGAGGAATCAACTCATAGAGATATATTAAATATGTCTGTAGGTCTCTGCTGTGGCCGGTGTACCAGAAATTGCTAAGGCAAGATCATGAGTTTATCTTGATAGAAGATAATGCACTAAGCCATGATTGCTGGTATACTAACTAGGAGTATGTGAGGGAGGGGGTTAACTGTTAAAATGTTGAATAATAGTATGTCGCGGTTGGTCATGGAAGGAATGGAAAGTAGAAGGATAAGGTTGTTTGCTGGAGTGGTAGGAGTGTTTTTCGGGATTGAGCAGTAGAATAGATTTGTTTGAAAGGTAGAGGCGGATTTCACAGATATGTCTTTCCTTTGTTATTATGGATGCGAACAGAGGAGTTTGGGCATGAAGGGAATGTGAGAGATGAGTGTAGTAGTTTATGGAGAGATTAGGTTACCTTGATGATGTTTTCCTTATACACCTGTCATTACCTATGAGTGAAAGGCAAGAGAGATGAAGAACAAGAACTTTTTCCTTGGATCCCACCACAAAGATTCTCTATACTGTTCCATTCTATTAGCACTGTGCATTTTGATAGCAATCACCATCACAACAGGTTATAAGCCTTTGTGCCGGGACAGACTGAAGAGATTGATAATGACCATTGAGTGATTCCATTCACATTTCGTTATGGTATTAGGATGATGACAGATCTAGGTATGGAGTCATCAGGAGTGAACGTGAAGATAGTGGTTGAGTTGTTGAACAATACCAACTATGAGAAATGGTCTCGTAATATGATGATCATAATTGCAGAAAAGGGACTCACGTTCATCGTGGATGGGACAGAGGCATATCCGGCAAGTCTGAGTACTTCCAGGAGTATGGAGGCTGGGACACTCATGAAGGAGCAGCTGAGGTGGAAGTCTCGTGATATTATAGCGAAGGCATTGCTTGCTAGCCATATGGAGCAGCATTTGTGATGCAAGTATTGGGGTACTAATTTGTCAAGAAAGATGTAGGCAGCTGTTCAAAAGGACCAGAAGCAGACTAGTGCAGAGCATTTCTACCATATCAGTGATGATATTTGTTCACTTCTCGTTGCCGACTTCCCCTCAGTTGTGAATTTCAATGAGAAGTTCAAGTCACTACTTTGTGATTTAGCATTGTACGATAGTGATGGAAGGGGGATGAGTGATATAGAAGTCACGTACATTTTATTGCGTGTACTGCCGACCCACAATGGGAGTTGGAGAACTTTTCGACAGATTGATTCGAGTGATAGCAAGCCCCAGCCATTGATGGATAAAATAGTAAAATATGAAAGTCGATTGAAGTCGGAAAGACGAGTTGCTAGTACCCAGTCTGCGGGAAGGTTATGTACTCGTCGACTGGAGCTCCTGAAAGCTTAATGACAAAGAGAGAAGTCTTTAGTAATACAAACGATAGAAACGAGAAAAGTATCGTGTGTTATAACTGTGGTAAGAAGAAACATATGAAGAAAGATTGTTGGATAAAACCGACTATTGGTAGAGGTCAGAATGGTAGTCGACAGCATCACATAGCACGGGGAAGTTCGAGAGGCAGAAATGCTGTTAACAATGTAAGAGATGGAAGACTATCTGGTAGTTCGGTATGGAGCTTAAAAGAGGAGGATAGCAATAGACGAGATAGCTGAGTGACCGGTGGTGAAGCAGATGTAAGATGGTAGATCGATAGTGTTTGTTCCAATCATGTTACAGGAACCCCAGCGCTATTTGTTGAATAAAGTTCTTATTTGATGGGAGAGAGAACTGTTAATGTTGCTGATTCACACAATGTTGAGTGCAGAGGGATTGGTACTATTAAGATCTATGTTTGCTTGCCTGGAAGGGAGAGCAAAGTGGTCTCTGTTGAGAACGTGTTTTACGTTCCGCATTGCCAAAACCTACTATCAATAGATCAATTGATGGAGAAATGATTGGAGTTTAAGATAGAGCCAGACTGGGGGTGTTACCTGTATCAGGATGGCATGTTAACTGGAGTTGCAAAGATGTGTAATAGGTTGTTTTTACTGGATACTAAGCAGGAAAATAGCTAGAGTAAAAGATCCGACACGGAAGAGAAAAAATATTTTGGATCTGGAAGAAAAGAGAAAGGAATAAAAGAAGAAGTTTGGCATCGTCGATTGGGGTATGTGAGTTATCAGACCTTGAGGCAGATGCCTCAAGTTGTATGTGGAATGAGGTTGAGAGAGGATGGCTTGGTGGGAAGTGGGGGGGAGAAGAGAGATGTAAAGACTGTGAGAAAGAAAAATGTTCACGCAAACCATTTTCCAACCCCTGATATCCTGCAATGAAAATCCTTGAATGAATTCACAGCGATGTGTGTGGACTAATAGAAACAGCTCTGATTGGAAGAAAGCGATACTTTGTTTTATTTATGGATGAGTTCTCACAATAGATGATTGGCTACTTTATGGAAAGAAAGTCGGAGGTGTTCAGTTTCTTTCAAGAGTTTAAGGTGATGGCTGAGAACCAGACCAGTATGCTAATTAAGGCCTTAGGAAGTGATGGGGGTGGTGAGTGCTGTGGCAAAGAATTCCAGAGTTTTCTTGTGCTTGCATGGAATTCACAGCGAATGTACGATACCATATACTCTGTAGG